GCCATGAAAAAATATAATATAACTAAGCGTAAGCATAATATGACCAATTTAAAATTACACTCATGCGAAATGCCTTGGTAGAAAAAAATCTGGTGTCCTAAATGGTACTTTCTCTGAAGCTGCACAAGACTTCCAGTCATCTCTTATAAGTGTCTTACCACTCATCTCTCACAAGTGGCTGCCTACCACTCATCTCTCACAGGTGGCTGCCTTCCACTCATCTCTCACAGGTGGCTGCCTTCCACTCATCTCTCACAGGTGGCTGCCTACCACTCATCTCTCACAAGTGGCTGCCTACCACTCATCTCTCACAAGTGGCTGCCTACCACTCATCTCTCACAAGTGGCTGCCTACCACTCATCTCTCACAAGTGGCTGCCTTCCACTCATATCTCACAAGTGGCTGCCTACCACTCATCTCTCACAAGTGGCTGCCTACCACTCATCTCTCACAAGTGGCTGCCTACCACTCATCTCTCACAAGTGGCTGCCTACCACTCATCCTCACAGTGGCTCCACCATCTCTCACAATGGCTGCCTACCACTCATCTCTCACAAGTGGCTGCCTACCACTCATCTCTCACAAGTGGCTGCCTACCACTCATCTCTCACAAGTGGCTGCCTACCACTCATCTCTCACAAGTGGCTGCCTTCCACTCATCTCTCACAAGTGGCTGCCTACCACTCATCTCTCACAAGTGGCTGCCTACCACTCATCTCTCACAAGTGGCTGCCTACCACTCATCTCTCACAAGTGACTAACTACCACTCAGTTCTCACAATGGCTAGCCTACACTCATCTCTCACATGGCTGCCTACCACTCATCTCCACAAGTGGCTGCCTTCACTATCTCTCAAAGTTGGCTGCTACCACTCATCTCTCACAAGTGCTGCCTACATCATCTCTCACATGGCGCTACACTCATCTCTCACAAGTGGCCTACCATCATCTCTCACAGGTGGCTCCACCACTCATCTCTCACAAGTGGCTGCCTACCCCATCTCACAAGTGCTGCCTACACTCACTCTCACAAGTGCTGCCTACCACTCATCTCTCAAATGTGCTGCCTACCATCATCTCTGGCAAGTGGCTGCCTATTTCAACTCACATGCTGCCTACACACTCATCTCACAAGTGGCTGCCTACCACTCATCTCTCACAATGGCAGCTTACCATTACATAATCACAGTGCTGCACCACTCATCCTCCAAGTGCTGCTACCACTCATCTCCACAAGTGGCTGCCTCCACTCATCTCTCCAATGGCTGCCTACCACTCATTCATCTCACAAGTGGGCTGCCTACCACTCATTCTTCAAAGTGCTCCAACACTCATCTCTCACAATTGTGCCTACACCTCTCTAACAAGTGCTGCCTACACTCATCTCTCAAGTGCTCCTTCATCATCAGTCTCAGTGGTGCCTACCACTCATTCCACAAGTGGCTGCCTACCACTCATCTCACAAGTGGCTGCCTGACCACCATCTCTCACAAGTGGCATGCCTACCACTCCTCTCCAAGTGGCTCCACACTCATCTCCATAACGGGCTGCCTACCAGTTTCTCTCACAAGTGGCTGCATACCATCAATCTATCAAAGTGGCGCTACCACTCATCTCTACAAGTGGCTGCCTACACTCATCTCTCACAAGGCTGCCACCACTCATCTACTGAAGTGTTCTGCTACCACTCATCTCTCACATGCTGCCTACCACTCATCTCTCCAAGTGGCTGCCTCCACATCTCTCACAAGTGGCTGCCTACCACTCATCTACTCACAAGTGGTGCCTACCACTCAATCTCACATGCGCCTACCACTCATCTCTCCAAGTGGCGCCTACCACTCATCTCTCACAAGTGGCTGCCTACACTCATCTCTCACAAGTGGCTGCCTTCACTCATCTCTCACAGTGGCTGCCTACCCTCATCTCTCACAAGTGGCTGCCTACTCACTCTCACAAGTGCTGCCTACCTCACATCCTCTGTCACAAGTGCTGCTACCACTCATCTCTCACAAGTGCTGCTACCACTCATTCTCACAGTGGCGCCTTCCACTCATCTCTCACAGGTGGCTGCTCACTCATTTCACAAGTGGCTGCCTACCACTCATCTCTCACAAGTGGCTGCCTACCACTCATCTCTCACAAGTGGCTGCCTACCACTCATCTCTCACAAGTGGCTGCCTACCACTCATCTCTCACAAGTGTGCCTACACTCATCTCTCACAAGTGGCTGCCTACCACTCATCTCTCACAAGTGGCTGCCTACCCTCATCTCTACATAAGTGGCTGCCTACCACTCATCTCTCACAAGTGGCTGCCTACCACTCATCTCTCACAAGTGGCTGCCTACCACTCATCTCTCACAAGTGAATATAAAAAATATCAAGATCTTCAAAATACTGGTAATAACATAACTCTCACCACAGCCTACTACCCCTGCCGTTAAATGTTGATTATTTACGTTATTATTTTGACTAATATTATTGTCGCAGCAGTTGTTTAAATAAGACAGGACTCTAATGTATATATTTAACTTGCAACTGGATACCCTCCACAATTAGCTAATTAGAGACAGCCTTTTTTTTTTTTTTGGGGGGGGGGGGGGGGGTCGCCTAGTTTTTGCTAACTCAGTAGTATTACATACTAAATGGGAATGTATTGCCACATGTCATTTATTTAATAATCACATTGAAGTATCCTGTGTGTATACCAGAAGGGGATCTCAACTCTACGTTATTTTCCCAGTATTTCATCCCGAAAAATGGAAGTTGTTTTGATCGTGTCTTTATAACCAAAGACATTCTGGACTTTGTGAGATAATCTATCTAGCCTTGCTTAACGTAATGACCCTCACTTCTCAAGCACCTTTCATATGTTCAGATGATTCTACCTTTAAAGGGAGAAAGGGGGGAGGAGAGGAGTGCCCTGGTCCTCCTCCTCGTTGAAACAAACCTGATCACTTCCAGTTCCACAGACATTATACGACCATAACGGGTTTAGAGTTTCCTCATGAATATAATAATAATCAGAAGAGGCGAACCAAACTTTTACCCGTGACTCACCTCTGCTCAGGAGACAGACATCTTACGGATGCTGGAAGATGTTCTGGAACGTACACTATTTTGTGTATTCACTGAGTTGTGTTCACGGGGGTCGGGTCTCAGTTCCTGGTCCCGCCTTTTAAACCACAATGGTCAACATTATTGATTCCTGGCCCTATCATACCTACTCTTGAAACTGTGTATTGAATTTACCTCTACAACTCCGTCTTCTAGCTCGTTCTATCAATTTACCACCAAGAGACTGAACAACCTAACATCCCTGTGGCTCATCTGTGACTTTAGTCTCCCTCTATGACCTTCTATGACCTTCGATGACCTCTCGCTACTATGCCTCTCATTTCAAAAAGTCTGTACCTATTTGCTCTGTCAAAGACTTCGTATTTTATATATTGTAACCATGTCTCCCTAATCCTTCTTTCTTCTAAAATCGTCCGGTTCAGTTCCTTTAGTCTCTCTTCATAACTCAGTCACCACATCTCTGGGATTAGTCTTCTTACAAACCTTTGGACCTTTTTTAGTTTTTGTGTCCATCTGATCAGGTGAGGGCTCCTTGCTGGTGCTGCATACTTCACGATGGGCATAACATATGTCGTAAAGAGAGCCATAAAACACTTTATTGAGGTTTCTGAAGGCATTTCTGAGATTACCTCTCCTTGCATATGCTACAGATGCTATTCGATTTAATTTGCACCTCTGGAGATATATTGGGTATGACGTTCACTCCAAAATCTTTGTCCTTGAGCGATATCTGTGGTCTATCGACTCTCAAGCTGTACTTCGTCTCTGGTCGCCTCTCACAGTCACTAATTTTCATGACCTTACACTTGTTAGCGTTAGACTCTAGTAATCACTTGTTTGGACCATTCTTGCAGCTTATCCAGGTCAATCCGTAACCTGTCTCTATCCTCTTCAGTTGTATTCTTCTCTTTAGTTCTACGTAATTAGAAAACAGTGAGATATATGTCATTTAACGTATATTAAGAATAATTAAGGTCCCAAACCTGACCCTTGGGGAAACTGCACTTGCTACACTTTCACATCCTGAAACATCTGCGATATCTATCACCCAATGTAGGACTACCTGGGACCTGTGCGTGCTCTAATTTGTGAGTCAATCTCAGGTGGGGTACAATATCAAATGTTTTCCTACAGTTTTGGAATATACAGTCAACCTTTATTTTTCTTGTTTATTTTCCGTTATTTTGTCGTAAAACTTGTAGATTAGTGAGACAAAACTTACCTTCCCTAAATCCGTCTTGTAAAAAAAAAAAAAAAAGTCCCACCTCTACATGTTCATCCACTCTTTTCCTAATTATCTTTTCCATTAGTTTGGACAGTATACATGTCAATGCTACTGGCCTATAATTCAGAGCCTATTGTCTATACCCCTGAGTGTACATTGGGATCACTTTTGCAGTTTTTCCGTCTCCAGGGACATGTTGTAGATCGTTGGTATAAATTCACACAGTTGTTCCACTCCTTGCTGTAACCATGGTGTTGTGCTGTCAGGCTCCCATGGCTTTTAATGTGTCTGACTCTTTTAGAATATTCATTACTCCCGCCTTTGATATATGGATTGTAGCCAATATATGCTGATTAACCCTTTCATCCCTGTGTTCTGGGACCATTCCTATTTCCATTGTGTGTGTGTGTGTGTGTGTGTGTGTGTGTGTGTGTGTGTGTGTGTGTGTGTGTACTCACCTAATTGTTGTTGCAGGGGTCGATTCACAGCTCCTGGTCCCGCCTGTTCACTGGTCGCTACTAGGTCATTCTCCCTGCTCCATGAACTTTATCATACCTCTACCTGTGTGTGTGTGTGTGTGGTGTGTGTGTGTGTGTGTGTTTTGTCTTTACCACCACGTTTCCCTCATGATAATATACAAACGATAGCTATCAACACCATAACATGAGTACTGATTCTGGTTTCCTCTTTCACAGTTAAAGGATCACCTGACTGCTAAATTATTACCTCTGCCGAGCACCAGCATCTGGATACAGAAGCACCGCCAGTTACAGAAAAACCTCCTGGTTACAATAGCACCGTCAAGCTGCAACAAAGCCTCCTGGATACAGCAACACCATCTGGTTACAGCAGCAACATCTAGCAATAGGAACATCACCTGGTTTCAGCAGTATCATCTGCTATCAGAAATGAGACTTACAAGCCTGAAAATAGAGAAGCGCTGCCCTTGACTTATTTGACCATACTAAGCAGATCATTCTCACACCCAGCCCTTCTTACATAGTTATTCACCCTATTTTTGGAAACCACCCAAGAGACTACTTTTGATCACTCTACTTCCCAAATTGTTAAATTCTACATTTCCTAACCAGTACTTTCTAATTCTGAATTTACTCAACTTTGATCCATTTTGAGTTCTTTCTTGATACATAATCAAAGATGAAAGTCAGCGATTTTTCAGTGATGGTAAAAAGAATGAGTGTCGTGGATGTTTTTGCTTTTTTATATTTATAATAAACTCTAGCAAAATATAATGCCAGACATTGTCTTAAGAGTAAAATTATATTAATAAATTATTACTATTCGCTTATGCAACCATCAGTGGTGAGTCATTAAGTTTTTTCTATAATGTCATACCAGTCACTAAGTGTAATATACGTTATAAACAATTTTGACAATATTGATCGATCTCTGCATCTGACGCGATATTACCCAGTTGACGTCTCTGAATATTTGAGTCTCTTGTGGAGATGGTGACACTGTGTCTGAAAATATTACCCTCTGAAGATAGACGAGTGGGGACTTAGCATCATGGAGAGGTTCAGCGCTCCTAGCGTCACCTTCAAGACGAGAAGTAAGAGAAGTCTGGGGTATCCTCATTCCAGGATAGCGGACAAATACGGGATGCGGCCAAGGACCATTATTAGACGATTGCTGCAGGAGAGACGACTTAGGGAAGCGTCACACAAAGACGTCAGATCGAAGCTGCATCCGTTCCCTAAATACCACAAGAAGCTGGCCAGCTTCCGTGAGCGATCCCACGTGCGGGAAATTAATAAAGCTTTTGAGAATCTGAGGAATGCCTTGCCAACTGCAGCCGGATGTCGCAACGACGCCTCGGCCGCTGCCAAGATGACCACTCTCAGGTTGGCTCTAAGATACATTGCGGCACTTACACAGCTGCTTCAAGAAGACGACATTCAGCGCTCTTACAACAACGACGACGACAAGACTAGCAGTTGTTCAGAGACTGACAGTGACGATCATAAAACTTACTTGACCGGCCAAGAAGACCTCAAACCTCAGCCTTCTTCCCAAAAGGAGCAAGACGACGCTGAAGACACATACATCCTCGCGCTCGCTAAAATTTTTGAAGAAAGCGACGATTCAAACGACACAAGTGCTTCTGACAGCAATGAAAAAGGTCAAACATTCCCTGCCGAGAGTGATGATCGTCAGAGCAGCCGAGAAGATTTCAGCGACCTTTCTGACAATGACGTTGAAGGTCAGCTCGATGCTCTGGCCAGTCTGGGTAGCTTGACTAAGGAAACAACAGATCCAGCGTTCCTATCATGAGCTCTCCTGTAGTTACAGTAGCCATCAACAGCGGAGTCTGTATCATAACATAACCCTTCTTTTGCAAGTCCGTATACAAAAAATATGGATTTGTTATATTATAGTTTTACCACTAAATTAGTGTGTTTACAGGCTGTTGAATTTCACTTACTTCTTCTTAGCATAACTCTGGGCTGGAAGTTACATTCTTAGGTATGAAACTTCCTGTGACATTTGTGGTACATTGCCCAAGGCATTTTTTTCGAAGCTCCACCTGTGTTCCCGAGGTCTGGTCACTCAGTCACATGAAGTCTCGGGTAACACTTTCTGGTCTATGAATAAACCCTTCAGTGCTTATTTTCTAAAAAGTAAATTGTTGTTCAATATATTAAGAGACGAAATAATATCTGAACTCTGTAAATCTTGGTGGCTATTGCTACTCCACTCTGTGGCTATCACTACTCCACTCTGTGGCTATCGCTACTCCACTCTGTGGCTATCACTACTCCACTCTGTGGCTATCGCTACTCCACTCTGTGGCTATCACTACTCCACTCTGTGGCTATCGCTACTCCACTCTGTGGCTATCGCTACTCTACTCTGTGGCTATCGCTACTCCACTCTGTGGCTATCGCTACTCTACTCTGTGGCTATCGCTACTCCACTCTGTGGCTATCGCTACTCTACTCTGTGGCATATCGCTACTTTCCACTCTGTGGCTATCGCTACTCCACTCTGTGCTAGCGACTACTCCACTCTGTGGCTAGCGCTACTCCACTCTGTGGCTATCGCTACTCCACTCTGTGGCTATCGCTACTCCACTCTGTGGCTATCACTACTCCACTCTGTGGCTATCGCTACTCCACTTGGTGGCTATCACTACTCCACTCTGTGGCTATCACTGATCCACTCTGTGGCTATCACTGCTCCACTTGGTGGCTATCACTGCTCCACTTGGTGGCTATCACTGCTTCACTTGGTGGCTATCACTGCTCCACTTGGTGGCTATCACTGCTCCACTTGGTAGCTATCACTGCTCCACTTGGTGGCTATCACTGCTCCACTTGGTAGCTATCACTGCTCCACTTGGTAGCTATCACTGCTCCACTTGGTTACCCGGAGGTTACCTGGAGGTTATTCCGGGGATCAACGCCCCCGCGGCCCGGTCCATGACCAGGCCTCCCGATGGATCAGGGCCTGATCAACTAGGCTGTTACTGCTGGCCGCACGCAGTCCGACGTATGAGCCACAGCCCGGCTGATCCGGCACTGACTTTAGGTATCTGTCCAGCTCTCTCTTGAAGGCAGCCAGGGGTTTGTGGCTATCACTGCTCCACTTGGTGGCTATCGTTACTCCACTTGGTGGTTATCACTGCTCTACTTGGTGGCTGTCACTGTTCCACTCTGTGGCTATCACTGCTCCACTGTGGCTATCACTGCTCCACACTGTGGCTATCACTGTTCCACTTGATGGCTATCACTGCTCCACTCTGTGGCTACCACTGTTCCACTCTGTGGCTATCACTGTTCCACTTGGTGGCTATCACTGCTCCACTTGGTGGCTATCACTGCTTCACTTGGTGGCTATCACTGCTCCACTTGGTGGCTATCACTGCCCCACTCTGTGGCTATCACTGTCTCACTCTGTGGCTATCACTGCCCCACTCTGTGGCTATCACTGCCCCACTCTGCAGCTATCACTGCCCCACTCTGCAGCTATCACTGCCCCACTCTGCAGCTATCACTGCCCCACTCTGTGGCTATCACTGCCCCACTCTGTAACTATCACTGCCCCACTCTGTAGCTATCACTGCTCCACTTGGTGGTTATCACTGCCCAACTCTGTGGCTATCACTGCCCCACTCTGTGCCTATCAATGCCCCATTCTGTGGCTATCACTACTCCACTCTGTGGCTATCACTGCCCACTCTGTGGCTATCACTGTCCCACTCTGTGGCTATCACTGCCCCACTCTGTGGCTATCACTGCCCCACTCTGTGGCTATCACTGCCCCACTCTGTGGCTATCACTGCCCCACTCTGTGGCTATCACTGCCCCACTCTGCAGCTATCACTGCTCCACTTGGTGGCTATCACTGCCCCACTCTGTGGCTATCACTGCCCCACTCTGTAGCTATCACTGCCCCACTCTGTAGCTATCACTGCTCCACTTGGTGGCTATCACTGCCCCACTTGGTGGCTATCACTGCCCCACTCTGTGACTATCACTGCTCCACTCTGTGGCTATCACTGCCCCACTCTGTGGCTATCACTGTCCCACTCTGTGGCTATCACTGCCCCACTCTGTAGCTATCACTGCTCCACTTGGTGGCTATCACTGCCCCACTCTGTGGCTATCACTGCCCCACTCTGTGGCTATCACTGCCCCACTCTGTGACTATCACTGCCCCACCCTGTGGCTATCACTGCTCTACTCTGTGGCTATCACTGCCCCACTCTGTGGCTATCACTGTCCCACTCTGTGGCTATCACTGCCCCACTCTGTGGCTATCACTGCTCCACTCTGTGGCTATCACTGCACCACTCTGTGGCTATCACTGCTCTACTCTGTGGTTATCACTGCCCCACTCTGTGGCTATCACTGTCCCACTCTGTGGCTATCACTGCCCCACTCTGTGGCTATCACTGCCCCACTCTGTGGCTATCACTGCCCCACTCTGTGGCTATCACTGCTCTACTTGGTGGCTATTACTGCCCCATTCTGTGGCTATCACTGCCCCACTCTGTGCCTATCACTGCCCCACTCTGTGACTATCACTGCCCTACTCTGTGGCTATCACTGCCCCACTCTGTGGCTATCACTGCCCCACTCTGTGGCTATCACTGCTCCACTTGGTGGCTATCACTGCCCCACTCTGTGGCTATCACTGCCCCACTCTGTGGCTATCACTGCCCCACTCTGTGTCTATCACTTCTCTACTCTATCACTGCTCCACTCTGTGGCTATCGCTTCTCCACTCTGTGGCTATCACTGCTCCACTTGGTGGCTATCACTGCTCCACTCTGTGGCTATCGCTGCTGCACTCTGTGGCTATCAGTGCTCCACTCTGTGGCTACCACTGCTCCACTCTGTGGCTATCATTGTTCCACTCTGTGGCTATCGCTGCTGCACTCTGTGGCTATCATTGTTCCACTCTGTGGCTATCGCTGCTGCACTCTGTGGCTATCAGTGCTCCACTCTGTGGCTACCACTGCTCCACTCTGTGGCTATCACTGCTCCACTCTGTGGCTATCACTGGCCCACTCTGTGGCTATCATTGCCCCACTCTGTGGCTATCACTGCTCCACTCTGTGGCTATCACTGCTCCACTACAAATATCATTTATACTATTAATTGTTTTGCTGTATTGTGTGAATAAAGGACAAGTACATTGTATGTTGGTCACCATAAACCGCACAATACTTCATCACTGTTGGCAACTTTTACTGAAGCTTGGACGTTGATAATGACCAGAACTGTGAAAGAAACCGACTTTGTTCTCCCAGAAACACTGAAACTACAGTGGGAATGAGGTACTACAATTCAGTATTAAAGATTATCTCAATAATTTGAGTTCAGTCCCATTGTTAAAGTAGTTTTAGTAATGTTTTGTTAATTTTTAGCGTTTTTTTTTAAGTGTGACCAAGTTTGTGTATTTGTGTATAATTTAAAATACTTTTTATTTACTGTTTATGTGTATTTTGTCTGTTGTTTTTATTTGTTTGTTTACTGTCTACTGCAACTTTATCACAGGTTGTTTATGCGAGTATATTAGACGAAGTTATACAGCCAAGAGATGTATTTCTCTCATTGTATATATACTGTATTAAGACTATACGTATATCTCTTTTTCGAATTAAAGTATTTTTTTGTGAACAGGTGACATGCGTCCTTAACGACCATCGTGAAGTCGATAGGATTTAAACCTAACCGTCCACCCGTAGACTTACACAATATATAAATGTATATGCAAAATATTGTAAGAACAACACAAGTAATTAATTAAATTGCTAATTACAATTTCGAGATCAAAAACCCTATAGACTACATCAAGGCTTAACCTTCTAAGTAAGGAAATATCCATAAGTTGATCAGATAGTTTTTTAATCTACTGTATATTACCAAAATGTTAGTAAGATTAGCTTACTATGTTAGTTTTGGTATAAAATGGAGATATTTCACAGACAAAATTTGCATAATTTTAGTTCACTCTTTCTTGGAGAGGAAATATGTTAGGTTATATACTGCTGGTTTATGGTGTTTTATTAAAAATAAAATGTCATAACTCCTATTGTGTGAATTATTTATACAAGAGGAGAGAGGGAATTTTCATGTTATACGAAATAAAACACTAGTAGATTGATCTGTAATAATCGTCTAAGCCAGGGGTTCTTAACCGGGGGTATCCATACCCCTTGGGGGTATACATACCCCTTGGAGTATGAGAACTAAATAATGGGAAGTATGGGACTCGATCTCCCAACTATGGTGCAAATGTGAGAATCGTGAGAATGATGTACATAGCCTATGTTAGGTCCTTAATTGATTATGCTGCTCCCATGTTGATATTAGCTAGAGAAAGTTCCCTCCGACCCTTGGAGTTAATGCAAAATGAAGCTCTCAGGATTATTCTTGGCTGTCCCAGATCTACAAAAGTTCTTAACATGAGGAAGGAGCTTGGTATTTCTAGTATCAGTGATAGGATTGTTGAAATTAACACTGTACTCGGTATTAGAATGTTGAGAAACGAACCAGACACTGTCACAGTGAATCTTACCAAGTTGTCTAGAGGTAAATACACACAGATCTAAATGGATTGTGAAAACGTGCAATTGCATTAAGTTTTATAACCTGCATGAACTGTATCACTGTAGGCAACAAGAGCATTTCAACCCCTCCATGGATGATGTGTTCATTTAATATCACATACCTACAAGTCCCTCCAAGAAGCTCATTGCTAGTAATCCTTCCTTAATCTCTTGTTAGAGCAACTGCTCAAGAAGAAATTTCTCACCTAGCTGGTAGTAAACAAGTTATCACAAGTTATATACACTGATTGGATCTAAACAGGAGTCTTCTGGCAGGGCTGCATCTGCTCTTGTTGCCACCTCCCTAGTTAAGGAACGATAATAAATTTGTTGAGTTAGGCATAAGAATTAACAACTGGGCGTCTACACTGCAAACTGAATTGTTTGCAATCCTAATGGCGCTAAAGCTAACCTATTGACACTGAGCTTGACTCTATCATCATTACTGATTCTATGTCATCATTGAGGCTCTTGGCTCATATAATGACTCCAACAACATGCTCATTGGGGAAGCCAGGTATAGATACTCAAAAATTAGAGACAAGGAATTAATGTACAATTGCTATGGATCCATCACACATTGGATTACTCCTTCATGATAAAGTTGATATGTTAGCCAAGAAGAGTATCGAGAAGGAGAATGTAGAATAAACTTTGGTATAACTGTGTCTAGCATTAGGAATAATATTAGGAGAGTAAGTAAATAATGAAATGATTGTTATAGGAATGCAGTTAGAAGCCTGAGTAGATCTATAACACCACTATGATAACATGAACGTGATAAGTATGTTTATGGAGCACACTTGCAATGTGAACAGACTGATGATGTTGTAGTGGCCAGGCTTAGGCTTGGTTACAGTACTTCTGGCAGTTTGGGAGACA